GCTGGTGTGACCGCTGACGGCCGCTGCCGCCGTGACGGTTGTGACCGCTGACGGCTAGTGTGGCCACTGACGCCATCAACCGCTGTGGACTGGTGTGACCGCTGACGGCTAGTGTGATCGCGACACCATCACCGCTGTGGACTGGTACCGCTGGACGGCTGGTGTGACCGCTGACGGCCGCCGCCGCTGTGGACTGGTGACCGCTGACGGCTAGTATGGCCGCTGACGGCCCCCGCCGCTGTGGACTGTGTGACGCTGACGGCTGTGTGATCCGCTGACGGCCATCACCGCTGTGGATGGTGGTGACTGCTGACGCTGGTGTGACCGCTGACGGCCGCCGCCGCTGGACGGCTGGTGTGACCGCTGACGCTGGTGTGACAGCTGACGGCCGCTGCCGCCGTGGACTGGTGTGACCGCTGACGGCTGGTGTGACCGCTGACGGCCATCACCGCTGTGGACTGGTGTGACCGCTGAGGTTAGTGTGACCACGACGGGCCATCACCGCTGTGGACTGGTGTGACCGCTGACGGCTGAGTGTGACCGCTGACAGCCAGTCACCGCTGGTGGACTGGTGTGACTGCTGACAGCTGTGTGACCGCTGACGGCCATCACCGCTGTGGACTGGTTGACCGCTGACGGCTGTTGTGACCCTGACGGCCACCGCCTGACGGCTGGTGTGACCGCTGACGGCCCATCACCGCTGTGGACTGGTGGTGAACCGCTGACCGGCTGTGTGACAGCTGACGGCCGCCGCCGCTGTGGACTGGTGTGACTGCTGACATGCTGGTGTGACCTCTGACGGCCGACCGCCGTTGACGGCTGGTGTGACCGCTGGCTGGTCTCCGCCGCTGCCCCTCCAGACGAGCGGTTCGAGTAACGCTAAGAACTGCCCGCGACGCTGTGTTGCTGCTGCACAAGGCTGGTCCTGCGGCTGGGCAAGTACGACCTAGAGAAGCGCATGGCCATCGAGGAGGAGAACACGACAGGGCCAAGCTGAGAAGGACCACTCGGAGGAGTACAAAGAGGCCGTGATGGCGGCACTCAAGGTGGACCAGCTTCTGGAGTCAGATGGGGTGAGACTCCAACGCTGAAGTGCGGTTTATGTGTGCGACTGCGGACCATTACGTGATGTGACGTGACAAAGTGCATTACGTGATGCGTTTTCGTCTTATGTGCAAAATGCTGAACTAGACATCTCCGCTGATGTTCACCTCACTGTACTTTGCTGCTGGTTGCGAAATTATATTGAAGTATATAACTGCATACAAAATGTTTGCATGTGTCGCTTGCAAGCCACTGGAAATTTGCTTATCCATATCAACACTACCAATGTCTGCAACGTGGCCCAATGCAGATCCGTCTTCCAGACGGACCCGAATAACAACAAGTCCCTGAACCTGGAGCTGCCACCGCCGCCGGGCAAGAAGAAGCGTCCCCAGACGCCGCCGCCGCCAGCGCCAGAGCCGTCGCCACCCCCGCGGCCCAAGTCCGACCCGCTACCTCCCATCCCACGCAGCCCAGAGGTGCGCCAGGACTCGTCTGGCTCGCTGAAGAAGCCGATGACGCCCCCGCCGCCCATCTACGCTCCGATGACGCCGCGGGCGCCAGCGACGCCCGCCAAGCCTGCGACGCCGCCGCGCCGCCAGCCGCCGCCACCGCCGCCCGCGCCGCGCTACCAGCCGGCCCCGCTGGCGCCGTCGCCGCTGCCGCCGCGGCGCGCCCGCTCACCGCTCTTTAAGCAGCAGGAGCCGATATCCAAGTACGCTGCGCCAGCGGGTCGCGCGCCGCCTGTCCGGCCTGGCCGCGGGTGAGACGGCGGACCAGCGCTCGGCAGAGGCGTGAGCACTCACCACCGGGTGAGGCGCACCGCACACCTCACGCCGCGCCTCGCACGCCATGTTGCATCGCACGTGTCATGCAGTGCCGACTTCTGTACGTCACTCCGTGGGTTCGCATGTCCAGACGCTCATCGGTGCAGTGTGCACTCGTGCCCGCGCATTTTAAAGTCACGTTTCAGTGAAACATTGGACGGATGGTGGCGCTGCACAGAAATGCCCAACTAGCTGCCAGCATGCCGGCGCCCGCGCGCTCGCGCCCCGCTGGAGTAAGGCCCAGCTACGTCGCTTGAGTGCAGTCTGAAGTGATAACCGCCCCTGTTGACTGCGGCGGCGGCACGGGTAGCTGACCTCTGATAACGCGCGACGGTGGCCTGACCCGTCCGCTGCCTGCTACTTCCAGACGCAAGCTGATGGCCGGCATGATGGTGGGCGACGCCGGAAGTAGCAGTTTCAGCACACCCCGGCAGATGTCGTCCGTGCTGACCGATCAGGACAGGAAGGCAGCCGCGCTGCCCATTGAGGTGTTTGGGGAGCCTTTGGTGAGTGCGGTACGAGAGGATGATGCGGAGCCCTGTACCGAGGTGAACTAGAAGGAAATGCTAAAATGCAGGTTTAGGTTGAGCCCATGCTGTATTAACAGCACGTGCCTAGCGAATATAACGTGGCCTATAAACACCGTGTAACCCCCGTTTCTAGCTATGCATCGATGAAACGTGCTCTATGACCAGGGCAGTAACTGTTGCAATTCATTGAACCAAAGGCATTTGCTATTAATTTGGTGGCCACTTCATGCAGGTTGAGCACTTCTACGCCAAGAGTTTCCTCCAGAAGGAGGAAGGGTTCCGTGATCTGATGAATGACCTGAAGAGCGGCGATGAGAGCGTGAAAGCGGACAAGAAGACCCGGGCTGCCACCTTCCTGCTTATGCGCGGACTCAAGGACAAGATGTACACTGTCAGCCAGCAGGCTGTGGAGGCGCTGGCCTACCTGACCGGGCCCTATGCCAGCCGACACAAGTAAGACGGGCGGAAGAGGGGACTTCTGAGCCCCACGGGCAGGACTCGCAGCCATCTGTCGCCGGCGAACGGCGGTGTGGGAATCGCCAGCAACCAATGAAAATACCACCTATGTTACAATGCCACGAGACGATTCCTTCACCGTGTGTATTTGCACAGTGATTTTGACTACTGCTCTTTTTGTGATAAGTATTATCTTCGGGTACATTGCGTCTGCCTAAATTGCCACCCAGCTGACATCGTTGTCAGACCTCTAGTTAAACTTCATCTCTTGAAAAATGTTCATCTGCTTTCTCATCGCAACGACACATGCCACCTGTTCTCACTATCTCCTAATACCCCGTCGCCGGCCCTCACTTCTGCGCGCTCCCAGCCACGTCTCACTCTGCCCCCTCCCCCCCCCCCCCCTACTCTGCCGCAGGACGTCCAAGCGCGAGCTGAGCAACACGATGGAGGCGGCACTGCCGGAGCTGATCCAGAAGCTGGGCGAGAACGCCACGCGCGTCCAGACAATGGCCGCGGAGGGCCTGCTGCAGCTGGCGGAGACGGCGCACGGCCGTCGCATGCCCGACGTCACGGCGGCGCTGGCTGCCCCGCTGCGGGGCGCCGTCCACACCCGGGTCGCCCTGGGCAGGATCGAGACCGTCGAGAGGATCATCATCAAGTACGGCGTCACCAACGATGACGGGTGAGCTCGCGGCACGGCTGGGCTGCTGCCGATCCGGTGTGACGGGCGTTGTTGAGTGCTGAAATGTCGACCGCGCACCCTCATGTGAACACTGGCCATCGACGGCCGTATGGAAAGCAAGGCTGGCAGGGTGGATATAAACTGAGTCGATCGGGTGAATCCGTTCACGGAGGATACAGATTGGTCTAATACTGTTATTTATATCATTTCATTCGAGGCCACCAGTCTTTTTCAAGCTACATCCGCTCAATCTGCGCCGCCACTCAACACGCGTCGGCCGTTCGTGTCCGCCATCTGCGTGCGTCCCCAGACCGCAGTCCACCGAGCCATCTGCGTGCGTCCCCAGACCGCAGTCCACCGAGCCATTTGCGTGCGTCCCCAGACCGCAGTCCACCGAGCCATCTGCGTGCGTCCCCAGACCGCAGTCCACCGAGCAGCTGGCCAAGTTCGCTCTCTCGGCGCTGGAGCAGCCTGGCGACCAGCTGCGCGCGGCCGGCTCCCGGCTGCTGCTGCTCGTGTACCCCGAGGACAGGCAGGTGGTGCGCAGCCTGCTGACATCTGGCGGAAAGAACAAGAACTCCAACTACCGATCCCTGCTAGCAGAGCTTGACAGGTTGGACGGCAAGGTAAGGAGGTAAACCGGCGGTAACTGCGTGCAACCAAGATCGTGGTCACTACTGTATAGCATAGTGACCCCTGCAGTGCTATGCCGAGTCATCCGCAGTGATGTGATTTGCTGGAGAGGTGTGGAATATGCGTCTTATCGCGGGCACCGCGGCAATGATGTGGCTTCGCAACGTGTTCTTTCTCACTCGCGGTCTTCTCGGTTCCAAGTGATCATTCAGAAATCTTTAATGTTATCGGCCTATCAATGCATTTACTTACGACAGTTGTGCTTTTTGCATGGATGTTGTTTGTCGTTGCTCATTTCGGCGTCTCTCTTGATGTCGTGTAGATGTCTCGTCACTGCATTTCACATTTCGTAATTTGCCTATCCACGTGCACGAATATTGGTGTTGTGATCATCAGTGGTGCTGTCAATGATTTCTTGAAACGTTGATGTGGAAGAGATCCCAAATGAGACGATGCGTACCGCGTTTACGCTCTTTTCGAAACCATTGTGTTGTTATCCTATGATTATTTCCGCTTTATTCGTCCCATGGGTTCGTTCAAGGGTGCACGTATTAGCTTTTCTAAAGAGTTCATGTTCAATTTACGTCATCAATCGACACTTTACACCCTTAATTGGTGCTTAATATATATGATGAGCTCCGTGTCAGCTGATATTGGAAAGCATGGAACGGTGTCGGTACAGATTCATATTGCCTTAGTATCATCTCTGAAGACTCTGGTGATCGGAAATCAGCGGCCATCCAATCCGAGGACCCGTGAAACTTGTTTGTCGAGCGGAAGAACTCAAGTCTTCAGATATTTTCTATACAGGCTATGGAGCATGGCATTGCACCACTTGCACTCGGTGTCGTGGCTTCCCGGGGCGGAGATAAATACCTGGAGTTTTAAAACGCTGCGCCGATTCAAACGTGCGAGGCATCATCTCATACCATATCTCAATGAGCCTTTTAAGAACTTCTGGTGCTTATCTTCGCCGATGGGCAGAGTGGCATGTCGCCGTGAGTTCGCAAATATTTGCCAAATACACTCGGAACCCGGACCATGCGCCTTTGCTGAGCTCCATCCGGACACGCTGCCAAATTTTCCGACGCACCCGATTTCCATCGACCACCCACAAACCGGGGGACAGTTGTGTCGCGCCCACCATGGAGCGGGGGACAGAGCGAGCTGGCACCCGAATGCATGCGTGCAATGCACTACGCAATGCAATGCACCATCTGCGCGCACGCAGATGGCGCCTCGCACGGGTGTCAGATTCTGTCCGCATCATGAAGCCTGAAATTGCGCCGCAGCACCCCCACTAACAAGCAACTCACGCACCGTCTTTAAAATAACTTGGACCCGCACTATCTGACTTGTGTTGAAAGATGAGTGCAACACTGATGCATAACGCATTCAGCAGGGAAGGAAAGATGTGATGGCAGCCTTGACTAAATGGCAAACTGCGGTGCCTGTCTCATCGTTGATTGCATCTGCCGGAAAGCCGCGTTAATTTGTACTGAACGATCGGACACCTATCATCGAGACAGAAACGGCGCGTCCTGAGTGGTTGGTAAACTGTGGGCGAATTTTAGCTCTAGGGATCGCCTGATGCAACGCTGGCAATTATGACCGTTTCTGGACGGTTGGGGCGGGGAGTTCTGAATGCGTGCTTTACTGAAGCTTCTTTGCCATCAATGTTTGTGTGGCTGGTAGTCTGGATATGGTCCATTCTGCTGCCTGACACGCTCACAAGTCAACTCAGACACAAATCGCAAAGATTATCGCCGACGTTTTTCATGCATACCGCTAGCACGCATTTTCACATCTACGGACTAATGGAACTACGCCCATGCTCCCGTTTTCCGTTCTCCAACAGTACCTCGCAGTCCGTTAAGGTCCATTCCTCTTGAGGGTGGATCGAAGAATGATTACGCCAACCCTGCACCAAGCACAAAACTGGCTCTCAAACAGAAAAAGTTCTCTGGTTCCTAAATATAATTCCCGATACGTCATCGTTTCGTTGCGTCATCGTGCGCTGCAAAGCATTGGTTGAGAGCCAATGGACGGCCGTAATATACGGAAATCGTGCTCACGAACGCCAGATATGAACGACTCTACAATCCTATTTTTATTGGCATTTATCGCCACATGGCAAATTAATGATATAATTTAAATGACGTTATTATGGCGTCATGGATGCCTGGGTGACCTTGAAAAAGTCTCCCCGAAAAAGCCCGCATATCTTCTTAACGTGCTGCTCAGAAGCGAGAAGAGTTATGTCCCAAGAAGAGAGGGGTTTTGAACGGCACTGAATAATCACCAAGATGGCCTTTTCAGTCCAAAACACCATACAAATGTGGAACACTTCCTTTAACGGACCCACCCACTAGCGAGCACCTTAAGGTAAAAATTATTGCATTAATGGCTGATAACTCCGAAGAAGTGTTCTATAAAGCGGTCATATTCGGAAAAGACAACTCAAGCTACAGAACTGAGTTCTGGGTATCTCGTTTACGCCCGAACACTTCATGCCAATGGAAACGTTATCCAATATTTTTTTTTTCTTGGGGGGGGAGGGGATCTACAGCAAGTATTCTAGGCTTGGTGCACGCGGCGTATGACAGTGCATGTGGAAACATAACCTGCCAGTCAGCACTTAACTATCGGCGCAGCCCGGACAGCTATCTTCCTTGACTCAGACACGGTTTGGCTGACCATAATGCCCCATGACACCTCTGTATTCTTCTTTGAGACCAATTACCACCCGAATAAGGTCGCCTAATTTACAGCCTTAGAAAACGTGAACGATTAGACCATTCGCCGAAAAGTCGATTTTAGATTGAACGATGTACTCCCTTGATTCACCTGAACCCCGTTTAAGCAGGAGTTTTCACCTAACGCTGTAATAATTGCTAAACATTTCGACACTACTGCCGGCCCAATGGAAGTTGAAACCACTCAGTGGCTCTGTCACTGTAGCAGCCTTATGCACCCAGTATCACGACTCACAAGTGACAATTTTCTAGGTTTTCACCATTTATTATGGCTAGACGTTGCATTTCGGACAAAAACGTGCTGCTTGTCCGCCCAAAATAAAGTTACCTATGTGCTGGGAAAGGCACAACCCTTGTGCGACCCCGACATCGCACCCTGCTCATGTTCTCTTGCACGTGGCGCGGTATGTGGAAGATATAGCAAGAGACTATGCATTATAGGGCTTATTGCGGAAGAGAGCGGTGTGCCATGTTTGACAGAAGAGTACCGCATTCCATGTTGCGCTTTACCATCGTATCATTTACCGTATCATATACTTAAGCTTACGCCAAACGGAAGATATTTTCTCCCGAGTGCGAGGCGAAGAAATGATGCACTCTCTCGCCACTTGGACCCCAGCTGAACCACAGATGTGAAGTCAAAATAACAGATAGTTCTGCACCTGAGCAATCCAACGATGTCAAAACTGATGCCTTCATTTCAGCTTGCCTCCAAGATCAGAACAAATTCATTACTTGGGTGAAATGAAAAGAGCAATGTCGGTTTTCCGTGGAGCAAAGAATAGAATCTTTTAGGCAACCGTGCTTTCAGTCAGAATTAGTGCAAAGCGGTGGTCAGCAATTGACCCAATGTCAAACAAGGTCCTGAGGGATGATGCACCTTCTTTCACTTTGGAAACATAAATTATCTGTCTAAAGCAACTATTTTGTTTGGAGAACATCATCTTATTCTGATCGCATAACCAAAATGACTGTTTATCACCGTTAAACAAAATTACGTCCTCAAAATACCAACACTGGCCGAGCAATTCTCCGCAAACCTTTACACACGATGTCATTAGTCAGTGACCCGCCATTATCTGGGACGTTCTGTTCGCGAGATGTGCACAGCCACTAAATCCTACGCCAATCTTACAGTTCACATCACCCTTATTTATCACTTTCTTATGACCTCAGAAAGACCGTTTGGGGGCCACCAGCCCTTTACGCAGGTCCTTTGCTCACTCATGGTCATCCTTTACGTTACCGAAGGCAGAGACAGGTATGATACTTTGAAAAGAATCGCGGTCAAATTTGCAATGATTTCTGACCTCCAGATTACAATGCAACTACAAATGGGAAGATGGCTTGCGATATTCAGTGCTATCCATCTCCGAGCGCTTGAACAGTCAAAAACAACCTCTAGTTTTGCCGGGGTCTTATGATAGCTTACGGCGTTCGTGCGCTAACGTCATCCTACACCATTAAACAGCCACACTCTGGGGGATCGGGACCCCGTATCACGCGAGGGAGCTCAAGCTGTAGTATCCACAAACAACCGCCGATGCCAAAACACCTATACGTAGGCTTCAGTTAAATAACCTTCGGACAGAAAGGGTACATTCATCTTTCGCTATCGTGCCTCCCAGGTTCACGCATAGCACATCCACACACCCATTTTAAGCCGTGGCAGCTGCCGTCAGATTGCATGTGAATAAATTACGTACGAGTTGGAAAACGCGGAGTCGCGCTAGAGGGGAGCATAACTGAGAAGAACTAGAGCAACCCGGCTTTCGTACCTCTAGGCAGGTGACCTGCCTTTTCGATCCCGTTATCTCACTTTGCGTGTGGCAGTGAGTGACTAACCGTCCCAGGGTAACGCCACTCACGCTTGCTAGCGTCACCAAAGCCAGGCCCGGTCTCCTTTCCCTTCGTTTCTTCAAGCACGTAGGGGACTGCCAGCAGCGGGTCAAACTGCTCCGCGTAGGGCTGTTTCGATTATCTTGTCCCATACCCTCTCCTTGCCTTTTTATCCCGTGCCACTGACCCAGCGACTGATATGCTGTCCCTCCGCACCCGGAAACACCCGCTGAATGCGGGTGTGCAGCTGTGGCAGCCGTAGTACCCAAGCCTCTACGATCTCTCGCGGGCAGGTGACGGTTTCCCGCCAGAGGCATCCCACGTGTTCATCCACAACACTCGCTGAGCACTGGGACCCCAAACACCCGGTGTCGTTTCACTCGGATGGAGGTAACATACCTCTGCTTTAGCGTGCAGCCTCGCCCAGCCATCTATGGGTGGGGACCCCGGCCTATTATCTTGCAGTCAAGTCCCGGTAGCCTAACACAGGCCGGACGTAAGCCTGTGGTCTGCTGTTGTCCGGCCTGTGAGTTGTCCGGGTGTCCGGCCTGTCAGTTCCTATGGTGTCCGGCCTGTGAGTGCCGCCGGTGTCCGGTCTGTGAGTTATCCGGGTGTCCGGCCTGTGAGCTCCTATGGTGTCCGGCCTGTGAGCTCCTCTGGGAATCCGGTCTGTGAGTTCCCCTGGTGTCCGGCCTGTGAGCTCCTCTGGTGACCGGCCTGTGAGTTCCTATGGTGTCCGGCCTGTGAGCTCCTCTGGGAACCCGGTCTGTGAGTTATCCGGGTGTCCGGCCTGTGAGTTCCTATGGTGTCCGGCCTGTGAGCTCCTCTGGGAACCCGGTCTGTGAGTTCCCCTGGTGTCCGGCCTGTGAGCTCCTCTGGTGACCGGCCTGTGAGTTCCTATGGTGTCCGGCCTGTGAGCTCCTCTGGGAACCCTGTCTGTGAGTTCCCCTGGTGTCTGGCCTGTGAGCCCTTCTGGTGACCGGCCTGTGAGTTCCTCTGGTGACCGGCCTGTGAGTTTCCCTGGTGTCCGACCTGTGAGTTTCCCTGGTGACCGGCCTGTGAGTTCCCCTGGTGACCGGCCTGTGAGTGTCGCTGCTGTTCGGCCTGTGAGTGTCGCTGCTGTCCGGCCTGTGAGTGTCGCCGGTGTCCGGCCTATGAGTGTCGCTGTTGTCCGGCCTGTGGGTGTCGCTGTTGTCCGTCCGGTGAGTGTGGCTGGTGTGCGGCCTGTGAGTGTCACCGGTGTCCGGCCTGTGAGTGTCACCGGTGTCCGGCCTGTGAGTGTCACCGGTGTCCGGCCTGTGAGCGCGGCCGCCGCTGGTTGCAGCGGGCGCCGGTGGCTTCGCTGCGGCTCGACTCTCCGGCGCAGCTGCAGCCGGTCCGGGAGGAGGCCGAGGCCAAGCAGCGCCAGGCCACGCCCGACAGTCCCCACCTCAGCCGCGCGCTGCGCTCCAAGACGGTGGCGCCCATTGTCGAGGCCGAGCCGACGGCCAACGACGACGACGACGAGAGGTGAGGCCCCTCATAAAGGATGGGCTGGGCGGAGATCGCGGGTCTGCACGGTCTCCCTGTGGCGTAGGCAACGTTGCTCTGCAAGCGAACATAGGTGGGATGCTCGGCAGAGATCGAAACTGGTTGCTGTCTGCATCGTTTGCTGTGCGGATGCTGCGTATTGTGAGACGGCTGTAGTCAGGGAATGTGATCTGTCGTTCGCCAACTGCAGCCGACGCTGGTCGTAATGTGACGTGACATATGCAAATAAAGGGGATGACTCACGCGGGGCCGGATGTCGACAGAACGTGCGTCTTCTGCGGCACCGTCGACGACCGGTTCGAGACAGAGGAGGGCATGGAGTACCACTTCTGGAAGAACTGCCCAATGCTGACCCGCTGCCCCACCTGCAAGCAGGCGGTGGAGGTGTCCAGCTTCACTGAGCACCAGCTGCGTACGTCAACTATACTGCGATCCGATGGGAGGGTCACGCTGTACGTCACCCATCCCCGATCCCATGGAGAGGTCAAGCCGTACGTCACCTCCCCCGATCCCATGGAGGGGTCAAGCCGTACGTCACCCATCCCTGATCCCATGGAGAGGTCAAGCCGTACGTCACCCATCCCCCGATCCATGGAGGGGTCAAGCCGTACGTCACCCATCCCCATCCCATGGAGAGGTCAAGCCGTACGTTACCCATCCCCCGATCACATGGAGGGGTCAAGCTGTACGTCACCCATCCTCCGATCCCATGGAGAGGTCAAGCCGTACGTTACCCATCCCCCGATCCCATGGAGGGGTCAAGCCGTACGTCACCCATCCCCCCCCCATGGAGAGGTCAAGCCGTACGTTACCCATCCCCCCATCCCATGGAGGGGTCAAGCCGTACGTCACCCATCCCCGAATCGATGGAAGGGTCTCGTCATACGTCGCTCATTTTCTGATCCCATGGAAGGGTCAGCGCCACACGTCACCCATTCTCTGATCCGAACGTTTTATGTGAAGTTTTATGACAAGGAAATAGCTCTTTTGACTGTCTGACAGCATGCAAACCATGTCCGCAGGGGATTGCAAGGAGCATCGTAACTTTAAGTGCTGCACTAGATGTCAGGAGGCCATACCAAAGAAAGACTACGACTACCATGTGCGATCTTACGCGTGCATTCGTAAGTACTTTCTACGATTTTGCTATGTTTACGTAATACTCATACATGCTTTGTTGTCAGCCTCCGAACACGGCAGGCACACATTGTTATTTCGTTATCGCCGTAGTCACAGTCGTGAGTCCTCCATAATGGTCGGGGTGACTGGCACGCGTGTGGTCCTAACCTTACAAGGACGATGAGCAACGTCTGGATGAGATCAAAAGGTCCAGTGGTCCGAGTAACTCCCGACTGACCGCCGAGACACCCAGCCCTTTGAGTCCCGCCAATAAGTGGCCTGTGAGAGTAAACAACAGCCGACGACAGCACTGCAAGGCCTATCAGCGGCCGCCGGCTGGCGTGACCTCTGATTGAACCTTGAGTAAACCAGACCTCTAAGAAGCCTCCCTTTCCCCGACGCAGCGGCCAAGTCCGGCCCGGCGGGCAACCACTGCCCGCTCTGTCACCAGAACACCCCACCGTACGAGACTGGCTGGAAACAACATCTCCTGCAGGACTGCACAGAGAACAGCAGGAACCCACGAGGTGAGGAGCCGAGCTCCCGGAGCACATGGCGCCAGCCAGTGGTTGCCGTCTGTGTTCCATCCGACGAGAGCAGAACACAGTACCGCTCAAGCGTGCTGAGATGGGAATTTGTGTGCACCATCTCCGCCAAGCTTTGTGTTTTGGTGTTGAGATGCCAATAGCTTCTCTTTTGTTGCGCACCGTCCGTGCCCAATTGCGGTTATGTTCATGCTAGCACTGCGTGTGCTTCTGCTGCTTCGGCAGGACTGTCCCGTGCTGGGCGTCGTCCGTCAGTGACACCGCCAACTGCCGCCGGTCGCGCCACGGCCGCCGACCGCGCGCCACGCACGCCGCGCAGCCGCATCCAGTCCGAGCTGCACTCGCGGCGACGCAGCTCGATCGGCGGCGCGCTGGAGCCGACGCCACGGCCGCCGCCGGGGCCTCGACGCCGCCACTCTGACGCCGGCTCCGGCGGCCGAGGCGCCCGCAGGACCCCACCCGCAGCAACGCCGGCCAGGCGTACGCCACCGGGCGGCGGGAGGTTCGGCAAAACGCCCCCAGGTGGGGGACAGTTCGGCAGGGCGGCACCAGGTGGCGGGCAGTTCGGCAGGACGGCACCAGGTGGCGGTCAATTCGGCAGGACGGCACCAGGTGGCGGGCAGCGCAGGGAGACGCCCCCTAATAGAGGCCAGCCGGGCAGGGCGCCGGTTGGGAGAGTGCAGCCGACGAGGACTCCACCGGACAGGGGCCAGCTGGGGAGAGCGTCGCAGACACAGCAGAGCAGAAGCCAGCCGAGTCGAACGCAGCCTCGAAACACCCCGCCGGCCGGCCGGCAGCCGACCAAGACGCCGCCGGGCAGGGAAAAACCGGGCACCAAGCAAGGGGCGCAGGCGCGGAGGAGGAACTCGCTACCCGCCACTGTAGGCAGGGGACGCGGGCCAGACAAGGGCAGCGATCAGGGAGGCAGCGGCAACAAGAGGCTGCCGGCTCAGAACGGCAGGTCCAACAGGACGCAGCCTGGAGGACGGCCGGACGCGCAGCGGGGCCGGGACCGGGACGCCAAGAACGCGCGAGACAAGCCCGGCAAGGCTAGCATGGAGGTACCTCGGGCCGGACGCAGTAGGAGTCACTCCATCAGCCGCATCCCGCTCTCGAGGAGGTAGTCAGCCCATGGGCGGCCGGGTGACGGTGGTACCTCTGGCCGGACGCAGCAGAAGTCATTCAACCAGCCGCATCCCGCTCTCGCGGAGGTAGTCAGCCCATGGGTGGCCGGAGGACGGTGCTCCGCGGTCCTCAGTCGTGTGCTGAAGGTAGTGTTCAGGTCCCGTTTGAAGATCACTGACACGAATAGTTCTTCTTCGAGTGATGCTCGATAGCTGGGGATCGCCTTTGGCGTCGAACGCTCTGGCAATCGTTGTTTGGTGTTTGGCACATTAATCCGCTATTTTTTCATTCGCAGCCTGAAGGACAAGATGAACCGCAGAAAGGGTGCGTGGAAAAGCTGTTGTCCATCCTCTAACAGTAACTATGTAGGGTACTTTGGAAGTGTCTTTAAGGCACCACGGAAACGGTAGGTTTTAAGTGTTTGTGCTTGCAATTAAATTCAAACGTTCGAGCCTCATTTTTAGAGAACGAATCACAATCCTTTCGCATGTTGTACAAATAGGCCATAGTGCACGTGCAATAAACATATTTTAGTTGCATTCCAAACATCCAGCCATAAAAGAAAGAGTCGACCTTCAAGACCACGAAACAGGCCTTCAAGACCTCTCATATCATTTTGGCGCGAATGATGACGATGGGCTCTTAATCAGTCCGGTAGAAAAGAAGGAGCTCTGGGCCAATTAGACGATCATTTCAAGGCAGGACACCATGTAATGTTGACTTTTACAGACTTCGCTTAAGTTCACGAGGATTGATGACCCTCGTGATCTAACCACTTCTGACGTATTACTTTCCGAAACTGACATTGGACTGCAGAAATTGTTTTTTTAGCTGTTAGAGCTATGTTTGCATCCATGCATGTCCTCCTGCCAAATATCAAGCATGGGAAATAATTGGAGGTTCAGGTTTCCTTATCCGGCGCTGGGGTGGGAGGGATCAAATTGATACCCCGAATGTTTTCCAAAATAACTTCCGAACAGCGCGGTGTAGCAGCAGCGAAACTTTGCATGGCTGTAGTCAATAAAATGGTATATCTTGTGGTATTAATAATTGAAGGTACCATGTAAGGCCGCTGTCCTATGGCAGGTCAAAGCCGGGACGTGGCTGTCATCCAAGGCATTTTTTTAAGGAATTGCCCGATCTAATGCGATAGCTGGGTTTAGACGAAGTCATAAATCTTCGAGACAGTTTCGTCGACAAGCAAACCATCGAATCCAGAATTATAAGTGATTCCATTGACCTTGGATCAACTATGATGAACGGGCGAAAACCAAACTGCCTTTTTACTGAAGACCTCGTTGATTGTTTTTATTGAAGACCTTGTTGAGGAGCTTTTTGTTAATGGTAAAGGTAGAGTAAAGTAGAGAACGTAGGCTGGTTAGAGGAGTTGTTGACCAGCCCTTGGTTCACGTCATGCTGCAGGGGGTGATGCATTTGATCAGTCCATACATCCACGGCATTTAACTCGCAGTTGCCTCAGAATGGGCCAGCATGGCACGAGGCCATGTCACGCGAAGGGGGGGGGGGGGGGGGTGGATCGGAAGGAAGGCGCTCTAACTGAATGAGCTATCGGGAGGGACAGCCTTGCTAGCCATCTTACCGTGGCGTCTTAAACACAGTTGTTGACCGTTTCGAACCCACCAGCCGCCTGTCTCGGTCAGGGCCCGGTGACAGATGGATATTGCAGCTGCTACGGGTCTGGTCCCATCAATAACCTCATACTGGTCGGCATGCAAGCAACTGCTGCCACAAGTGCGCAAGTGTTCAGTTAACTCCACCGCAGAGCCGAAAGTGCGCGTCAACAAGTCGGGTGTTGTGAAACAGCACGCGCCCGCCATACCGCCTGCTCCGATCACGGCGGCAGGATGCGGAGCTGTATCCTCCTCCACGCTATGTTGGCGGGTGTCTTGGCGCTCATGCAGCCTTCTCCGACCGGCCGTCAAGCGAGGCGACCTTCGTCAGATGGGGTCGACTGTGCGGCGCCCCCATCACACACCGCTGGCGGCGGCTGCAGGTGTGGCATTCCCAACCGTTCGACCCGTATCGTGGGCGGCGCGGAGACCGAAGTCCACGAGTACCCCTGGCAGGCGGGTCTGGTGGAGCGCGGCGACACCCGCGTCTGGTGCGGCGGCTCCGTCATCAACAGCAGGTACGTGCTGACGGCGGCGCACTGCGCGCCCAACACGACCAGGGACGTCGAGGTCCTGCTCCAGGAGCACCGCCTGGGCGTCAGCGACGGCGAGCTTCGGTTCGGCATACAGCGGGCGCTCTTACACCCGTGGTACGCGTCAGCTGCCGTCCTCGGGTACGACTTCGCGCTGCTGCGGCTGGCCACGCCCGTCGCGTTCCCGGCCGACAACTCACTCGCCCCGATCTGCCTGCCCAGCGCCGGGCATGACTTTACCGGCGCCGACGCCGAGGTCAGCGGCTGGGGCGCTACCAGGTGGGCCGGCGCCGGCACCAGCGTCCTGCACGCCACTGTCGTGCGCGTCATCCCCCAGCAGGAGTGCGCGCGCGCCTACCTGCGCGCGCAGCCGCCGCGCGTCATCACCGGCTCCATGCTGTGTGCCGGCCGTAGCGGCGGCGGCCGGGACTCATGCCAGGGCGACAGCGGAGGTCCGCTGATCAGTCTGGAGCGTGGCCGGTACGCGCTGGTCGGCGTCGTCTCCTGGGGGCAGGGTTGCGCGCTGCCCGACTTCCCGGGCGTCTACAGCCGCGTGGCCAAGGTGCTGTCCTGGATCCGGGCCAACACCGCTGACGGCGCCTACTGCGAGTAGACGCCGATACGCCCGCTGACTCAGTCTCCGACATCGACACCCGTGCGTGAAATGCCAGCGCAGTGTTGATTGCGAAATGAGGTGGTAGAGTTCTTGAAGCAATTACTCCAATTTCAAAGAACCACTCACGTGATGAGTGAACGTGAACGTGAACGTGAACCACCCACGTGAACAGAAGACGCACGAACGATCCTGCAATAATGCAAGACCTTTGACGCCATCTACTCGCTTAGATCGTTTAATTTATTTTGGCAATACAAATATTTGTCTTTGACTTTGTAAGATACGCTTTGTGGGCTTCTTTCCAGAGGCCCATCTGGTTATTTTATGCGGGAGATTTTTGCATCACAGTACTCGTTAAACACAGTATGTTGCGAAGACTCCGGGACACACCAACCCCGCGGAGCAATTCCCATCCAACAGACAACTTTTGCCGCAGATTTCAGCGCCGTGACGCACCTGGACTGCACCGGCTACAGCCCCACTGTCTTGGCCAGCCGTCGGTTGGCAGTCAGTGACGAGCCGGGAGGACGCCCTTCGGCACACGACAGCGCCACAGCCGCCACACGCCACTCACTGTTCAACGCTCCACCAGATGGGACATAGCGACGGCAGCCAACCCACATATAGCAAAACAAAACACCGCAGCTTCTTCAAAATATATTCAGCGTCACCGTTTCAAACACACAACAAAGCTCACCAGCCGCAACGGCCTAAAAACCTCCACGCCAAATAAGCCAGCACGACAGCACACCAGGCCACGACGGGAACGTTGACCTGTGCGGCCACCTTCAAGTCAAGGCTTCCCTTGATCACCACGGGGCTGACAGGCGCAGCCTCACGCACCACGCGCGAAGTCATGGAGAACTTGGAGGCCGACACGATCTCCACCGTCACCAGCTTGCCCATGAAGTCCGCCTCCATTGGAACCAGCACCTGCCGCGCACGAATGCAGCCGCAGTCACGATCGCGGCCCGCATGTCAGCCGCGCAGGTGGCCGGGTCAGGTCAGCTCAGGTCGCCGTCTCCGGCTGTATTCGCGACGCAATGAGCGCCGCCGCCACTATCCCCGACGGCACCCGAGCGGGACGCCGAGACCGCAGCGGTCCAATCGCTTGCACGCGCGGAGGCCAGCGCGCCGGCCGAGTGCGGCTCTCGGGCTGCGAGTCACGCGCGGTTCTCAAGGTGCGTTGTTCTCACGCGCGGTGCGGCGCCGCGCGCCGTCGCGCGCATTACCCGCGATCTGAGAGGAGCCCCGACCTGGCGCGCTGACCTGAGCGGTGGCTGACTCGCGACTGTGCGGATCCCTGCAGTCCAGCTCGAGCACATTCGACGGGTGTCAGTGTGCTGCCCTCTACAACACCCGGTACTGTTTTGTATCCCTGTACTTGCCCGACACAGTATAACAAGCGAGAGTGCACCCGTTCTGCATCCCAGATTAGCACGGCTTGAAAACAGTACACAGTCTTCGGATTTCCCAAACGTAACCAGCAGCAACAAAAAAAAAAACGTCAAAAGAAAGAGATGTAGAAATAACAGAGCCACTATCCAGAGCCACACAGACCCTGTGCGTATAGCATCGACATTCATGTTACGAGACAAATCGTAAGGACAGGACCAAACAGCACGTGGAAAAGAACGTCCACGGATCCCACCCCTCACAAGCTACATGGTGTAGCGCTAGCTGACAAGAGCGCGGCCCCGTACAGCTAGCACGGGCACGGCCGCACCCACCTGCTGGTACGCTTTGTTGTGTCCGACGTAGAACTGTTTGTCGTGCGAGATCTCCGTGACCAGCACGCGCTGTCGCTGTCCCACCAGCTGGTCGTACGGCCGGTACGAGTGGAACAGGTCGGTGAGCGCCCGCGTGCGCCGCTTCACCTGCCGCCGCCCGAGAGCGCACCTCACACGTCCGCCCAGCCGGCGTGGCGCGACGGTCAGCTCGCGCACAGCACGGCTCGCGCAGGGGCGGTGTACGTTTCGCCGCGCTCCGATATATTGTGGAGCACGCAGCACGATTTAGTATTACGGGTCATCGCAGAGCAAGCGGTGTCTACGCAGCGTGGGCTCACATCGCACCTGAGATCGCGTGATCCGCTCGCTTACGTGGCAGCATGGAATCGTCACTTTGACAAACTTCGCCACGACATGTCACCACACGCAGCAACGCAGCGGAGCCACTATCCGTGGAACAGGCTTAACATCGTGTGCGAAATAGTCCCTTGGAAGGCTGCATGGCATAGAAAGCCATATAGCGCCATCAAAAGCAACTAGCCGACACAACACCGCCGCGCCCGCCGCAGAGCGTGCAGTACCGACCTCCTGGGTGGGAACGCGCTGCATGTTCGCCGCCGGCGTGCCAGGCCGGGGGTAGAACTGGTTGATGAAGAGGCTGGGGAACTTGTACTCGGCGCAGAGCTCCAGAGTGCGCTCGAAGTCGTGCTCGCTCTCCGTGGGGAAGCCGCAGATGATGTCCGTGCAGATGGTCATGCCGGGCACCCTGCGCAGGGGAGGCGGGTGAGACTGCGCCCAGTCACCTCACCGGGCACGTGAGGTGACGGATTCGGCCCGATATCTGCCGGTGTGCCGTGCGGGGATACAGCCACAGTAGAGCAAACGCACGCAGGGGAGAACGCTGAAACAGACATCGACTCAACGACCCGCACTCAGGCTCTTGGCCAGCCAATTACGTAAATTATATCGGCCAACAATTTCAGCACAAAATCTCAAGGCAAAAATCCAACAATTTTCCGCAAGTACTGTCCCCCCAACAATACCAGGAAACGCAATCGATGATCCAAACCTCAGCATCAGCACCTTGCCTCCACGTCAGTCGAGATGCTCCTCCATCGATACTCCGACCGTCCACACAAGGAACCCTCGCTCAAACACACCCTGCGACATTTGTGGCCTTCCCAAACGGAAACTCCCCTTTCCACAAGTTCCGAGCAGCATATCCGCACCTCCACGTCACAGTGCAACCACGGCCGTCCCTCACCTCTCCTTGAGGAAGTTGACCACGCGGCGGAAGTCGCGGACGAAGTACTCGCGCTTCATGTCCTCGAGCACGGCGTCGCTGCCAGACTGGACGGGCACGTGCAGGAACGCGTACACGTTGGGGTGCGAGAGAATGCGCGCAATCTCCTGCCAGGACGAGGCCGCCGGCCAGTCAGCAGGCACGGAGGCGACCATGAAGGCAGGCGGCGTACACAACCAGGAGCAGGGCACGCTAATGTCAGCGTGAAATGTCGCCAAACGGCCTTTACTGTGATCGCTCTTGTACCAACCCTACAGAAAAGCGGGGTTCGCAACGTCCAAATGACGGTCGGATATTACTGTCTTGATGCATGGATACCCAGATATATACCAAAGCAGCGTGGGTAACGGTCATGTTCGTGACACACCGAAGTAAAGAGCCTCATGCCACGACGCACACGAACCCATACATTCCAACCGTGAACAGGGTCCCCGCCCAAGCTGGAGAGGGTCGGCCGCACCTCCAAATGGTCCAGAATGTAGGGGGGATTGGTCATGCCGACACGGAGCATGCAGCCGTCGGGGACGACCTCGACCAGCCGCCAGAGCAGCTGGGGTAGCGTGACGCCGATGTCCAGGCCGTAGGCGCCCGTGTCCTCCGAGGTGATCCACAGCTCGCAGACGCCCTCCGAGAAAGCCTGCTCTGCTCGCGCCACGATCTCCTCTGGCGGGACACGTGGGGGTCAGACACACCGCGTACACGTCCTCCGAGGCTTCGCTCGCGCCGCGATCCCCTCTGGTGGGACACGTGCGGGTCAGATACGTCACGAACACGCCTGCCAGAATGAGGTATCCGTCAGTGGTCACGATCCCGCCAGTGTTCAACCTCCTCGCCCTGCGAAATGTTACCTTATTCGCAGTCCGCTCACACGGCCAGTGAGCGTGCCGCCATGTACAATGACCTCGTCAACGTCACATCGAGGAGATTCTCTCTCACGGCTGCTCAGACAGCAGCGACAGTCACACTCGGTCCGACCCGGGCGAGCACGCGGCGCCAGGCCGCAGGTCCAGCACAGAACACGAACAGGCTGGCGCGCGCGCACGTCACGTGCGGACAGTCAATCGCGGCGAGGCTGCGCTCGCCGAAGGACCGACAGCAGCCAGGGGCGGGACCAAACGTGCGGCGACCTCAGCGACGGTGACAGCCGCATCGGGCGAGGCAGTAAAAGACGAACCTTCGTTGCGCGAGTGCACTCTTAAGGATTGACAGCCACGCGCAGAGCGCTACGATCTCACCGATCGGATAGCTGCCCAGCTCTCCGCGAGCGTGCTTTGTTTTACAGTAGGTGCACTGGTTCAGGCATCCCGTGTTGATGGGAATGATCTCGACCAGTGGGTTCTTCCTGATCTTGGGCAGCAGCAGCGGCGCGCCTCCCAGCTTCTTCGCACCGTCCTTCTTCTGACCGTACAGCCTTACGGTATGGCCTGCGGGGCGATACGCCACCGATGGGAGATGACGGACCCGCCGCCATGGACGTCTAGTTCCCAGCGACACGCGGAGACGTCAACGCCCGAGTGGGGCCCGCACACCACCCTCCACGGTCGGCGCTCACTGAAGCTGACTCAAGCACTCGGTGACAAGGTAGATCCAACGCCAGATATCGAACTTACAATGTTAGCTGACGCAGCTGGACAAGGAATCAGCCAGTGTGTTGGCTGGTTATGAGCACTTTGATGAGTGACGCGTAAGTGCACTTTCTCTAGGAAGCGGGGCGGCGTCGTTGACGGGGGAACAAATGGCCGAGTGTTGTCTATGAACCACCATCAAGCCTGGCCAGTTGCAGCAGCGCCGCGGTAACTGGCCACCTTAGCAAAAGCCTGCACAGCCAAGCACTGACAGTTTTACGCCTGCGAGCAAGCTCCGGGGCGGTGCTTCCGTAAGCGCCGGCGCGGCGGAGGGGATTGACCGAGAGCCATTTGATAAGCACCGCGTGCGGCGGGACGGAAGACGGCGCAGCGACGAGAAAAGTGACGGCACGCACGCGCTGCAGCCCAGTGGAACAGCGGGATGCGTGCGAGTTCAATACGTGGCCACGCAGCAGCTACGTGTTTATTTGTGTGTGCTGGCCTGTCTCTACTAGCATACAGAATGTGCCAGTGAAAATACGGCAGCCGGAACATATGGACGGCTGTTTTGTTACAGACGTATGGTGCCCCCCCCCCCCCCCCCCCGCTTACCTTTCAGCGTCTCCTCTACCACCTCGACCACCCTGTCGATCTGCTGGACGCCTATCACGCTGAGACCCCTGAGGTAGTCGGCCTTGGGGGCACCCTGAGGCACGCAGCCGGCCACCACCACGTGCTTGCCAGCCCTGCGGCCTCGCTCCACCTGACGGCACGGGTCAGGTGGGGTGGCCCCGGGCACAGCACCTGGTCACAGGCACACACAGGTACGCGGCTGCGGCACACGCGGCACGGGTGGCAGCACCGTCACACATCGGCTCCCGGGGCTGGCGAAACGCTGACATGTTCGCTGTCAACTGCTGCTGCGATACTCACATACTCGCTGGCAAATGCTGCATACCGCGATAGCCCACAGGCTCCATCGCCAGTGAGCAAGGCAATGTCATGCATCCGCAAATAATTCAATAACAAGTATTCCTCATCTTGCAGTCACCGCGAGCACATGTCTACGTGCGTTTTCATGTCATTAAGTTCACATCCACAGGAAAAATGTTGTCAACTTGAAACACATCATACACTTTGTTATCTATGGTGCATACAGTCAAAAACAAGGTGCAAATAGGGCCGGGATAGTTTTAACCAAAAGCATACCAATAAATGACAAACCTCGTTTCGGAAGTGGCTTTCTGCCGGCGATTTCACGGTGCAGCTATTCAAGAGCCAGAGATCAGCGGAATCAGGGTCATCTGTGAAATGATTCAGGCACTCTGAGGCCAGCCAGCTTGAACGCCTGACGTCCGCTCAAGAATACCAGAGGTGACAGCCCGTCCGAGATCTCAACCTTGTGAAGCACAGGAGACACCAAGGACTGCAAAGTATGGTCAACCACGCATGCACTGATATTCCTTAAGACTGTACTATATCTGCAAAGCGTGGTGGGCGTCAATCGACATCGGCGGATGACATTCAAAAGTCTAGTTCTGGGAGCATAATGCTGGACCGAACAACCTTACTAGAGCATAACCCTCAGTCAAAAAGTGGAGAAACAACCTGCACATTAACATGCCAATATTATATATATATATATATATATATATATATATATATATATATATATATATATATATATATACCATAAACAAGCACAAGAAAGCACAATCCATGACCAGACATGATAAATGACACCATGATTCAGAAATGACACTGTGTCCACTCACCAGCAATGATATAGCCATAGGCAGCCAGCTGGCCGGCCATGTACTCGCTGTCAGAGCTGTTGTGCGTGCAGCCCCAGGTGCGCACGTGCACACGCTGCGTGCCGGGCACCACGCTGTCGCAGACGGGGGGCGGCTCGGGCGCCGGTTGGTCAGCGGCCGGCGTCTTCTTGCGCCGGGCACGCACCAGAGGTGCGGACCGCACACGTGCCGGCCCTTCCCGGCCGCCCACCAGGTCCTCAATGTCATCCAGCTCCATCAGGCTGGCACAGGGATCCAAGGCATCCATGGCCTATGCAGCGACTGGGGAAATGTAAGAGTGAAGGAGGGTGGCTGCTGCAGACAGGTAGCCTTTCTACTGCAGCATTGTTCTTGTTCAGACAGAATATAGAGACAATACATATACATAGAGACATGAACTATAGGCTTCATTGTTAACTAATGACAGGCCTTTATGGAATGAGTGAACAATGTTGAATAACATGAGTGAATGACACATGAAAAAACATAGCCCAACTAATGCATCACAATCATTTTCTGTTTGTGCATATTAAAGTGGGTTTCTGAGTAACAAGAACAGCACATTTTAATGGCTGAGAGAAAACAATTATGTAAAGTGACACAAAGGAACATCAAAGCTCCACCCATCCTTGTGCCTTTCGGGGATCTAGGACATCAATGCAGATTCAGCCATCTTCTGATCTGTATGGCATCATTTGGAATGGTCCCACTCTTCATAAAAATAAATATGTCACAGTCACATAACACATTGGTCCTCCAGAAATTGCCATGCATTTTAAAGATGAGATATTTTGCCTTTGGATGGCAGCCTTCATGTCAGTCTTTCCATCATCTGCATGTTACTGTCTTTCCATCAAGTTTTCATTCAAGTCTTATATTAGCCCTTCTGAGAGCAGTCCGTCATGTCACCCTAGCAGTGAAAGCATCACGTGGTACAGGTTATAGCAGTTATGACAGCTGCCATGCTGTGGGTTACTACCATGCTCAGAAAAATCAAGTTTGTCACTATCTCTTTGAGCTAAAAGCTGCTCACTGGAATTTCTAGCTGTTTCTTCCATGTTAGGCTGCAAAAATGAATGTTTTACTGTAAGTTTTTGCAAAGCAATGCCATTTTAGGAACAATTTCAGCAGACTGACACTATAAATCAGAAATCTCAAGTTAAGAGAACAGTTCCAACCAATCCAAACACATGGAGCCAATGTTTCAAGAAATTGTGATGTTGCTGATGTAATTACAAGCAAAAATAGCCCCAAAAATTGATACCTGAAAAATATGTTGAATCTGCACACTTTTGCATGGCCTGAGTTTGCCACAAGCATTCTCCAAGTTCAGTGCACATACATCCAGTGCAGATGTCCACCTTAGCAGTTGCATTTTTTTAGCAGATTGGGAGCTTAGCAGATAGAAATTGCTACCCTTCAACTAGCATGCACAGAAACAGGGTTTCTTAAGCTGTGGCCTCGCGTTGGCCCACCAAAAAAAAAGAAAAAAAGAAAATCCAGCTTCTTTCAAAAAAAGGCAACGTGATGAACATACGGCCAAAAATCGGCTTCCTCAACCTATCCACCCATTGCGTGAGCCGCCCCACCAACACTAAGGCTGAAAAAGCCCTTCGCCTGTTTCAATGGGTTGGTTTATGGCGAACAAATACCGTACTGTTTCCTGCAACAACCACCTCGAACTCCACTCCTCACTCCTTCCAACCTGGGTAAGTAAATTGCCACACATAAATGGGCATGCTGTGATAGGTTGCGCACACCCCATTTGTATTAAAAGCGCAAATTTGTCGGCTGTTCGTTCGTTGCGCAGCTGTGACGTGATGTGGCCCAAATCAAGCAAGAACGCAGGTGCATGGGTGATGAGGACGGAGAAGGTAAGTGCTAGTCGATGTGTTTTCGGCGTTTGGAGAGGGCTGCTAGAAACCTGTGCAGCAAATTAATAACAATTATACTGAAAGGTAAAGGAACACTTCATCCACTCGCTTCAGGTCTGTACTCATTAGTTGTGCCTGTTTCTGCTAAATACTAGGGGCATCTCTGGGCTGATCCTGGTGTTTTTTCTTCGGCGGATGCTTCTAAAAAGAGAAGACATGCAGTCGCTTGAAAAGTGGGAATTTGGTTTTGGTCAGAATAAAAGTGATGGGAGTGGTTGGCCGATATTAAAGGAAATGCAGTGATGATCAGTGTTGTTTGTTCAACCCAGTGACGCTGCCAAACAAGGCACCCAGATACGCCTGTTGGCCAATGCTAGCCCATTAACCCACTTTTATACGAGTTTATTACTTGTTAGCCCATTAGTAAGTACTGGCTTTTTGGCTGTGGCTCCAGAAATTTAGTGAATAAGTTCTGCATTTGAAAGGTGAGAGATATTGGAGGTAGTAGGGTGGTAAGTTTCTTAACTGCGGTAATTATGTATATTCCACTGTATTTTAACTTTTAAACATGCTACACCTCCAGATACAATTTCCTGTTGAACTGGCATCACTCTAGTGCAATGGTGTTAACAAGCTCCTTTCAACAAGGCATGCATGATAAGGACTTATCCTGATACTACTCTTCAAGGAAATGGCCAAATCTTGTTTGAAAAATGATGTGGGGTGGTATGTTGGGTGCTTGATTGTAACAACTTACTTACAATTGCTCAGCCACATGTTATTTGCCCTGAAAATTTAAATTATGTTATAAAGTGAAGACTATTCCATTTGTGATCCTTCAAAAACTTGTCAAAATGGTCCCATCTCTTGTGTACTGGGACTTAGTGATGTGTCCCTGACACTGAAAAGGTGGTAGGCACATCACTTTTTATGCTTTTTTGCAAGTGCTGTTAGCATATTAGCAAGCATATTCATTATTTCTCAAAAGAATATGGCACACTTCAGGGCTCTCAAAAAGGCACAACACATTATCCATTATACCCTACATCTAGAGGTGGTTGTTCATTGCAATATGGGGTACAACAGAACTCTACACAAAATGCCTCATAGCATGAAATTTTGAATAAAACAGTCTGTGTTATTGGAATTTTGATCATTTTCTTGCAGTGTGGCTGTGGGACCAGCCCCTGGGGTACAGGTATTATTACATTAATCTAGTCACACCATCTTTCTAGAATGATGCCAGTTATGCAAGAATCACTCTTGAATATCTTTGCAATTGTTTGCATGACAAGTCTGTGTAATATTTCAGTAAATGGGGTGTGTACAAGGCCCAAGAATACACTGACACCATTTTTGCTCTACAGGACCTTGGGAACAAGAATTACAAATTTCCACAGAGAAGATGAATCAGTCATGGCAAGGTATAACCAAAATCCAATCTCAGTGTGTGTGTGTTGGCCTAAGGAGTGTGTCAAGACAGCTGGTGATGTGAACTTAGAAACAAGCATGCTAAATGCAACTGTAGATGACTTGAGAATGCCAGCCTTTCACTGTGCGAATTTTGAAATGTTGTTTGCACTGTAAAAACTATATGTAAAAATGTACAGTCAGGGTTGATAATGCATGATAAAGGACCCTGCCATGCCCACACAACCCAAAAATGTGTAAGTGTGCTGAAATCAAACCTCAAAACCCTGTTCATTTGATAGCTTGGTTGGTAAGAGTGTTTTCATTCTGATATGTCAACATGTGGTGGGGTGGATGCATCAAAGCTGGTTGTAGGAGTTCACTTTTTGTTGCTGACTGGAATGGTCTGCACCTGGTGCACCTGGCGGCCGCCGTGCTAGCGGTCAGGTGATGTCAGAGGACAGGATGGACTGTGCCAGATAATGGGGCACATTAGGCATCCATTGCAAAAATTTGTCATGGACCCAGTATTTCACGATCAGATGGTGGGGCAGGCCTCACAACAAGCTTTGCTTAGCGTGAATGCCGATTCTAGAAATTGACTGTATCAAAAGGCTCGGGCTGAACTTGCAAGCAATGGGGCTACAGTCTCTTGGTCGCAGCTACAGTCTCATTGGTTGCATCGCTCACTGTTATTTCTTCTGCAACTTTTTTATCCAACCCAACCAATTCAAGCAGCATGCTGTTTGTGAATGCAGGGTGGTTATGTCTTACCATGTGTGAAACTGAAGAGAATTTCTGTTTTGCCTGCAGAACCAATAAAATCATTCAATTTTCCACTCAAACCATTAAAACCGCTCTGGAGCCGTGACCTGTTGGGAGTGACAGTCCGACGTCGGGCCGTTCCGCGTCAGCCCTCATCTGATGATAGAGTCAGCCCTCATCTGGTGATCGAGTCAACCCTCATCTGATGATCAAGTCAGCCCTCTCAGGTCTCATGATCGGCTCAGTCCCATCCGGCCCGATGACCGAGTCAGCCCTCTGACCCGATGATCGAGTCAGCCCTCTGACCCGATGATCGAGTCAGCCCTCTGACCCGATGATCGAGTCAGCCCTCTCTGACCCGATGACCGAGTCAGCCCTCTCTGACCCGACACCGCGGCCCTCGCCTGCAGACGTGGCCGAGCAGTACCGCCGCTGGCGCGAGGACAACTCGCGCAACAGCGACCTTATCGTCCAGCTCTGGGAGGAGAGGCTGGGCGCTAACGTCCACAAGCTCGGCGACGAAAGTGAGCGTGGGGGCGACATGGGAGCCCCAGGACACTGGAGTTGCGCGGGTCGAGGAGGGCTGGCTAAACGCATGCGGGCAAGAAAGGGTCTTTCCATTTTCTCTTCTCAAAACTTGGGATAGCCATCAGAGAAAATAAGGACGCAATAAGATGCTGTATCTGGTGCCGTGTTTGCCTATTTCTTGAAGAATTCCTTGTGATTGTTTTTGTACCTGGTCTGTACCCAGGACACTGGAGTTGCGCGGGTCGAGGAGGGCTGGCTAAACACATGCGGGCAAGAAAGGGTCATTCCATTTTCTCTACTCAAAACTTGGGATAGCCATCAGAGAAAATAAGGGCGCTATAAGATGCTATACCTGGTGCCATGTTTGCCTATTCCTTGAAGAATTCTTTGTGATTGTTTTTGTACCTGGTCTGTACCTGGTCTTTGTACCTGGTTGTGTTGTGCTTGTACCTGATGGGTATCCTGCTGTCTTCGTGTCATGTGCTTTCGAACCTCGACCTTGATGCGCGCTCGACCCATTGCATGGGTAGTTACCGGCAGATCATTAAATGTAATCACGTTCGAGTAATTAAACCTCCGCCTTCCAGTCTTGGGGCGTATCGGAGAAGTCGTGAACAGATCACAATATCTGGTGGTGCGATGGTGAATGTCAGTCTGGTAATAAGATCGCGAGCGAGTGACTCGGATCCGGAAATTTGTTCAAGACGGGTGGGGCCGTCGCACAGATGCATATTCTCTCTTGAAAACCACTTAAGCCCCCGTAAAACAGCGCTGATATGGTCATATTTCCTTGTCCTGAAATAACTCTGGCCGCAAAGTTTAAAAGCTTCTGCAGTCAGGTTATTTGGGTACTGTTGCTCGCCCCATAAGCGGTGATACATTATGGGATCAGTGATACCATGACTCTACCAGCGTTACCAGAGCAGACTATGATATGCTATGCCTGCTATGCCTGAGGCCACAGAGCTTGCATGGGCAGCGCCTCAGACCGTCGTCATCGTGTGCCGAGAGCGTTGTCCGCTGGTCAGATACGACACCCAGGCTCCGCCCAGTGAAGGACCAGCGACGATGCCCCCCCCCCCCCCCCCTGGGCAGCGCCTCAGACCGTCGTCATCGTGTGCCGAGAGCGTTGTCCGCTGGTCAGATACGACACCCAGGCTCCGCACAGTTGAAGGACCAGCGACGACGATTCCCCCCCCCCCCCTCACAAATCGAATTCTGATGGTGGAAAGTCGGTGAATGTTTACGAGACAAGGAACTTTGAGCCGAGTTTGAGTTTTCTGTGCGTTTATTTTCATTCCGTTTTTGTCTATCCTCCAAGAGAGATGCGAAATATTTTGTTCCCCGGAGCCAACAAGGAAGCTCACGTCGCCTGGGCTTCCAGATACGTGAACCTGAGTATCGTCCGCATATTGAACAAAGTCTGCAGCGTCTGAATAAAGGGTCAAGTCATTGACATAAATCGAGCACATTAGGGGTCTCGGCTGATCCTTGGTAGGTGCCGACAGGGTTCAGAAGCGACCGAGAAGTCACATGCTCGCCAGATGACGTCTGAACACGAACTTGTTGATAATAGTCTATCAGATGGCTTTTAAACCAGCGCTCGTCCGTATCATGGGGCCAAGTGTGCGGAGAAGGGAAGCTTCAGTGGATTTGGGATCCCTTGAATAGGAAGCACTTGCGGAACGTTAGTGAGTATCCATGAACTGGGAACGTAGCTGGAGGCAAGGCTTGTGTCATAAGGTGAGTTATGACATTTTACAGAGAGTGCTTACAAGCTTTCACAAAGCGGACGTAAATTCCATGGGCGTCGCACGCACGGCGCATTGGGTGGCCCTGGAAACCTCCTGTGGTGGCCCGCGGCGGGCGCACGGGCAGGTCCGGTCCGGCTGAGTCCACCCGACGGAAGGTGCGGTACCCGCTTCAACGAAACATTTGTTCAGTGCCTCGGCGTTGGCGTCGGGTCAGACCTGACGGGCCGTTTCAACGCGGCGATGGCCGTTTCGACGCACGCTGCGCCACGTGGCACTGGGTCCCGCCTGGTGCAGCTGGCGGTCGAGCTCCTTCGTGTATGACGCCGAATTGCGGCTTGAACACGCTTGTTCAGGAGCTTTTACCTTTCGCGGTCACCACCGCGGGGTGCTGCTCGCCGTTCACCATGGTGTCCTGGGTTGCGCCGTGATGGGTGGCGCAGCTAGCAGCAAGTTTTTGTACTGGCGCTAAATCATCTAAGATGGAACGGGTCACCAGAAGTAAATAATCCCACCGCTGGTCCGGATGGTCACTGATGAACACTGGGCTCCAGGCGACTCCTCTAAACGTCGGTTTGCGCCAGCTTCGTCCGTTGTGGACCAGCATCTGGCCATCAGGGTGCGCGGCTCGAGTCTAAACTCTGGCAGATGCAGCAGTACACGTGACCAGCTTGGTTCCGTGAAATGTTGCGCCACTCTGGCCGTTCAGGAACAAACGGAACTTGTTTACTGCAGTACCGGCGGGGTTTATGTTGAGGTTGACATCGCCGGCGATTACGATGAGCCCACCATGGTGTGTAAGCACATGCTGTAGCTGCCACTCCAGCTTGTCCATATCGGCAGATGCTCGTGCCTGAGTCTGCACCGGTGGCTGTTGTACAGCACACACCATGATATGGCTTAGTCCGGTCAAAACCTAAACCCACAGTGTCTCGATTTTGGAGCCGGCGATAGGCTGTTCGGGCCTCTGCGGTGGTCACTACCCTCAGGTGCTATGGCAAGGCCACCGTGGCCCTTACTGTTGGGTGTGTCTTGTCGGTTTACTTTGTAGCCGGGTGTGGGTATGAGCCTGTGGTGAGTAATTTGCTTCGTCAGGTCTCTGTCAGGATCAGCAGGTCGCACTCGTGCTCAGCGCTGTCCTGCCTGAGCGCCAACAGCCTCGGCTTCATGGACCGGGTGTTCAGCTGGCCGCTGTAGAGCTGGTCTGGCCGTGCACGGCATCTCCAGATTCGCCCCCCCCCCCCCCCCGGGACCACGTCGCCTGCTCTGCGCTCCTCGCTCGGTGCGTCCACCGGCGCCCCTGACCGCGGCCGCCGCTGGAGCGGGACAGGGCGTCCCCTCCGGGCGGGTAGCCTTAGCTCGGCCGGCGGCGGGGCGGCGGGGTCAGACCGGCGGGGGAGCGATGACCCATCCGCGCTGCGGATTATCAGCTGACCCGCCTGCACCGCCCGGGGCACTGGAGAGACTGTATGTCGGGGCCGGACAGCCGAGGCCGAGGCCGAGGCCGGACAGCAGCGAGCACCAGAAGACGGACCACGACCGAGGCCATCAGGCAGCGCAGCAGCTCACAGTGCAATGTGGGCGTCCAGCAGTCTGAGCCCCACCGCCGCGCCGTCACAGCCCGCCGGCCGACGGCACCACGAGCCGCTCGCGCTTGTCAGTCCCAGCTCCACGCCCCGTCACAGGGGCGACGCGTCACAGCCCTCCGGCCGACGGCACTACGAGCCGCTCGCGCTCGCCAGTCCTAGCTCCCCGCCCCGTCACAGGGGCGACGCGTCACAGCCCTCCGGCTGACGGCACCACGAGCCGCTCGCGCTTGTCAGTCCTAGCTCCCCGCCCCGTCACAGGGGCGACGCGTCACAGCCCTCCGGCCGACGGCACCACGAGCCGCTCGCGCTTGTCAGTCCTAGCTCCCCGCCCCGTCACAGAGGCGACGCGTCACAGCCCTCTGGCCGATGGCAACACGAGCCGCTCGCGCTCGTCAGTCCCAGCTCCACGCCCCGTCACAGGGGCGACGTGTCACAGCCCTCCGGCTGACGGCACCACGAGCCGCTCGCGCTCGTCGGTCCCAGCTCCACGCACAGGCACAGAGGCGACGCGTCACAGCCCTCCGGCCGATGGCACCACGAGCCGCTCGAGCTCGTCAGTCCCAGCTCCACGCCCCGTCACAGGGACGACGCGTCACAGTGCTGCAAGGGTCACTGGCGGTCAGCTCCTCTCTCACTCGATCCACTCAGTCCTCTCGCTCGAGCGAGCACGCGGGATGTGAGCGTTCTCACTGCGGACAGTCACGGGGTGGTGTCCGGTTAGCCGGTGGGGTGGGGCCAGGGCGGGCCTCGCGCCTGTCCGGCCGCTGGTTCCGCGCAGCGAAGGCTACCTGGGCTCGTTCTCAGAAAGCACTTAGCGGCCGCCAATTTCGAACTCAATTTTATTTTGATTCGTTGTATTTTTCTCAGGCAGATAATTCACAGTGCGAGGTGTGCTCGGCACATTCCAGGGTGCAATCTGTGTGGGCTTGTAGCTATTTAAGGAATGTGTCACATTTGAAGATATTGAAGCAAGCATCAGATATGATGAAACAAGCTCACTTATAACTCTTGGGATACTTTGAAGCAGATTAGACCGCTCTAAACAACGCAGTTTCTCTCAGTAAATATGCTCCTCGATACGTCATTGTTTGATTTTGCCATCATACCTTGCTTAACCAGTAACCCTTGGCTCTCACTGAGCCAAATGACGGCTGTTATATCTGGAAATGGGACTCACGAACGCCGGGTATGAACTACTCGACCATCATATTTGTCTCAGCCTTAGCCACCGTATGACTCATGGAATGACAGGACTTGAGTGGCGTTATTAGAACGCCATGAATTCCAAGGTGACCTTGAAATGCTCTCCCCGAAAAAAAAACATTTTCGCTTGCGTGTGGCTTAGAAACTTTACGTCTTAAGAAGGGCGAGGCTATGGGATTCAGGTCTTAACCAGGGCGGGTTATGAAGTGGACCGAGAAGTCTTCGATATGACTATTTCAGATCAAAACCTCATAGAAATGTGGAACGCTCCCTTTAAGAGTAGCTATTACATGATTATATTTTCTATATTATTTTTAACAATGTCCGTGACAGTCACACAGACAGTCAAAATTATGGGTACGATTTTCAACTCCTGTTAAACTTTTGCTTGCTTCGGTACCCGAGGATCTAGAAAACAGGACGAAAGGCTGCTCTTTAACGAATCTCTTGTTCTGGGATATCTGAAATGTGTGGCTTCAGTCTTAAATCGCGAGGGCATGCTTCATAATGAGGGGCAATCGTTGGTGAAATGATAGACTGACTGTAAGATTTGTCTGATCTCGGCGTGCCGAAAATGGGCTCCGTCAAATGATCCCAGAGCTCTGTGTGGGACAGTTGGTTTTCAGGTGGTTGGCGTCGGGCTGTTGCCGAATACTGATCAGCCCCATGCCATCAGCGACGTCAAGAGGCCATCGCTGGCAGGCGCCGCGGCCCTGCTGCCCGGAACGCGCTCTGTCCTGATTAGGGTTCGCCGAACGACGACTGTTGCCGAGCCGAGCTCAGTCAGCTTAAGGCTCGGACGAGTGTGTCGAGCGGCCGGAGCGGCTGATCGCGCTCTTGAATTCCCAGCAATGCGTATCAATGAGGGCGGCGCGTGTTGATGACTGCGGAAAATGAATGAAATACCATCGACGTACGTGTCAAGGTTGACGAATTGCGCTGAATGTCGGACTGGATGAAGGCGTGGATGAAAACACGGGAAGTGGCCTTTAACGGGAAACAACGAGCCCTCGAGTTGCGGGCCTGCCAGGGCGGCAATAACAACGTCGTCCATTAACTCGCACCCGGCCTATGGATTGCCGTCTGCGAGCAAATTAATCCATTCACTGTCCACGCCAAACGCGCCACTGCCTCCGGCGACGTCACGTGCAGTCAATGCCGCATCGACCTGACCGGAACGGAAAAGGCCACGTGTGATGTGACCGCGCTGTTGTCTGGCGTTGTTGCGATGTGACCCCGCTGTTGTCTGGCGTTCGTCGCGCGGTAAACAGTGACGTCACTGCGGGACGGGACCGCGGCGCGCCTGTCCCGTCCCGCTGGCGCTGCCGGCAGCGTGCTGTCGCTGTGACGTCAGTGAGTTATTCGAGTCGGATGCTGTAGCCGATAGGTCCGACTGCCATCGTGGCGGCAACAATTTTTCCTCAGGGAATGGCCTGTGCCCGCTCCATCGCCTGCTAACCACTCTCATGATTAGTCCAATGGGTTGAACAGGATGGGGCGATGGGACGAAAGGAAGCTGGAGGCCGTGGTCTTATTTCTCTTGCTCGCGGCTGCATAATCGACGTCACATATGCAGTGCATCGAGGCTGGAGCAGACTCCAGCTCATCAGAAATCATTTTAGGTATCGACGGGCATAAAACCCGTGCAAAACAAAACAGCGATAGAAGTAACGTTGGAGCAAACTCCCTGATGGTAGCTCCTAATGGTGAATCCATGCAAAAGAGCTGATGTCACCACCAGCAGCTCCTGGCGACTGCCCCGCGCCCATCTCCGTCCGACCCCGGTCGGACCGGCTCCCAGCCGTCGCGCGCTTGTCTTTCGTACGGACCCGGTCGGACCGGCTCCAGGTCGTCGCCTGGGCTGGCGCCTCCCCCGCCCCCGCCCTCCGCGCCGCCGCCGGCCGCCGAGGAGGCGACGCTCCAGCATCACTGATTCATGTGCGGCCCGCGGCGGCGCTTTGTCGATAGCGGCCGGCCGGGGCGCAGCTGGGCGCCGCTGATAGAGCGCCGCCCGCCGCCTGCGAACCGGCCTCGGACGCGCTCGGGCCGGCGACGGGCACGGCACGCGATGTCGGCTCCGGGCGGCCGCGGGTGGCGCTGGTCCCGATAGCGGGGACCGCGCCCGCTGAGTGGCACACCGGCGCGCCGTCCACCAGCAGACTGACGCGCCGTCCAGGGCCGTCGCCACCATCAGACTGACGCGCCGTCCAGGGCCGCCGCCACCATCAGACTGACGCGCCGTCCAGGGCCGCCGCCACCATCAGACTGACGCGCCGTCCAGGGCCGCCGCCACTATCAGACTGACACGCCGTCCAGGGCCGCCACTAACCATCACACTGACGCACCCGTGGGTGTCAGTTTCTGACCGTAAGACTGACAAGCCCGTGTGTGTCATTTGCTGTCGTGACACTGGCGCGTCCGTGATGTTGATGTAGGCCACAGCAATAACATACAGTTATCCTATATGTTTGTGGACATGGGAAGTCCACTTTGCTAGCCCTTGTTGGCGTGGGCCGCGGTATGATCAGCAGTGAGCAGCGGGCGTTCGGGAACTCCAGCCTCCCATGCACAGTTTGGCGTGGACAGCTGGTGTCCCACGCTCCCGTCGTGTGCGTGGGCGGCGTCATCGGTCCCGTGGTTCACCTGCTCCGTGCGCGGGCTGTGCTCGGCGAATTGCCGGGCAGAGGGAGCGGCGACTGCCAGGGATCGGTCCACGGCTAGGCCAGCTGTCACCGGCCCGCCGCGCACGTCATGCGTTCCCGGCACCGTCCCGTGACGCGAGCTGATGGTCACTGTCGTGTCGCTGTCATGTGTTCCCGGCCCCGTCCCGTGACGCATGCTGATGGTCACTGTCGTATCGCTGTCATGTGTTCCCGGCACCGTCCCGTCACGCGTGCTGATGGTCACTGTCGTGTCACTGTCATGTGTTCCCGGCACCGTCCCGTGACGCGAGCTGATGGTCACTGTCGTGTCGCTGTCATGTGTTCCCGGCACCGTCCCGTCACGCGTGCTGATGGTCACTGTCGTGTCACTGTCATGTGTTCCCGGCACCGTCCCGTGACGCGTGCTGATGGTCACTGTCGTGTCACTGTCATGTGTTCCCGGCGCCGTCCCGTGACGCATGCTGATGGTCACCGTTGTGTCACTGTCATGTGTTCCCGGCACGGTCCGTGACGCGAGCTGATGGTCACTGTCGTGTCGCTGTCATGTGTTCCCGGCACCGTCCCGTGACGCATGCTGATGGTCACTGTCGTGTCGCTGTCATGTGTTCCCGGCACCGTCCCGTAGCGCGTGCTGATGGTCACTGTCGTGTCGCTGTCATGTGTTCCGGGCACCGTCCCGTAACGCGTGCTGATGGTCACTGTCGTGTCGCTGTCATTCGTGGTGACTGCTCGTTCTGAGTGGACTAGACCGGGGACAGAGCGTTGCGTGACGTTGTGTTTGGTTTTGTCTGTCTACCGTCTGAAACGGTCCCAGTAAGGTTGTCTTTAGTGTGAGCGGTGCGTGGCCTGATCCATTCCGCGCTCTTATGTGTTTGCCGTGGTTGTGAATGAACGGAAAACCTCGGGTTCGTGTCCGCACCGTTGTCTACGGCGATGACGTGGGTAGGCTTGCAGCTGTTCATTGCTCCTTGGGAAAAGCTTCGCCACTGCGGTACCGGTCAGGAGTCTGTCATGATCGGAAGCGACCTGTTGATTGTCATTACGTCGCGTGATCTGACGGTCAGACCCGGCTGATCTGCGCTGTGTGCTGTGGCGTGAAACGTGACCGAAGTGGGTGTGATTTCAAGGGTATTTTGTAACGTGTTGTCAGTAACGTGTTCTCTCAATGTTTTCAACTTCATTCTTGCCGCACGCCTTGGCTTAGCGTGTAATTGGCGCAGGCTTTTGGTTATCATATGTCGCAAAGTATATTGTCCTTACGCTGTGATTGTTGGGCACCCGGACATGGTTATTACTGCAGACGACTCAGTCGCACATCCGCTCCCACGTCATGCAACTGTGACGCCTGAACGTTGTTGGCACTGCTGTCGTTTGGCTCCGCTCATTACGCACTCAGGAGTGGATGGTGCTGATGTGACCCCGAGGCCCTCAGAGTGGATGGTACTGATGTGACTCCGAGGCCCTAAGAGTGGATGGTACTGATGTGACCCCGAGGTCCCCAGAGTGGATGGTACTGATGTGACTCCGAGGCCCTCAGAGTAAATGGTACTGATGTGACCCCGAGGTCCTCAGAGTGGATGGTACTGATGTGGCCCCGAGGTCCTCAGAGTGGATGGTCTGATGTGGCCCCGAGGTCCCCAGAGTGGATGGTACTGATGTGACCCCGAGGCCCTCAGAGTGGATGGTACTGATGTGACCCCGAGTCCCTCAGAGTGGATGGTACTGATGTGGCCCCGAGGTCCTCAGAGTGGATGGTACTGATGTGACCCCGAGTCCCTCAGAGTGAATGGTACTGATGTGACCCCGAGGTCCTCAGAGTGAATGGTACTGATGTGGCCCCGAGGTCCCCAGAGTGGATGGTACTGATGTGACCCCGAGGTCCTCAGAGTGGATGGTACTGATGTGACCCCCCGAGGTCCTCAGAGTGGATGGTACTGATGTGACCCCGGTCCCCAGAGTGGATGGTGCTGATGTGACCCCGAGTCCCTCAGAGTGAATGGTACTGATGTGACCCCGAGGTCCTCAGAGTGGATGGTACTGATGTGGCCCCGAGGCCCAGAGTGGATGGTACTGATGTGACCCGAGGTCCTCAGAGTGGATGGTACTGATGTGACCCCGAGGTCCCCAGAGTGGATGGTACTGATGTGACCCCGAGGCCCTCAGAGTGGATGGTGCTGATGTGACCCCGAGGTCCCCAGAGTGGATGGTACTGATGTGACCCCGAGGTCCCGAGTGGATGGTACTGATGTGACCCAGGTCCCTCAGAGTGGATGGTACTGATGTGACCCCGAGTCCCCAGAGTGGATGGTACTGATGTGCCCCGAGTCCTCAGAGTGATGGTACTGATGTGACCCCAGGGTCCCCAGAGTGGATGGTACTGATGTGACCCCAGGTCCCAGAGTGGATGGTACTGATGTGACCCCGAGGTCCCCAGAGTGGATGGTACTGATGTGACCCCCAGCAGAGTGGATGGTACTGATGTGACCTCAGGGTCCCCAGAGTGGATCGCCCAGCGTCTAATCCCGCTCCCGTTTCCCAGAATGGATGGTGCTGGAGCAGGTGGCGGTGGCGGCGCTGGACATGCACAAGATGACGGTGGCCGAGGACTGCCTGATGATGCTGGCCAAACGCTTCCCGGGCAGCCAGCGGGTGCGCAAGCTGAAGGCGCTGCGACTGGAGGCGCTGGAGAGGTGAGCGGCCGCCGGCCAGCTCCGCCCAGGACCCGTCAAGCTGTCGAACCGCTCCCACACCGATGTGTTCACGTGAACACAGTGGCGTTCGTATTCGCGAGCCGACGCATCCACAGCTTGCCCTGCCTGTTTGTGCCATTACCGACCAAGCAGTTTAGGTTATGCTCACTATTTCATGCTAGTGTAATAACGGTTGGTAATGACATTGATTTGGTGCATTTTCGGGGAAAAAGAAGGCGCGGTCTTTGAAGAGATAAAGACGGCAGAAGTAATAGACGTATGCTTTTGTGGGACGCTTATTTTCACAGGGGCCGGCATAAGTACGGTCAAAGCGAGCTTGAAATCAGTGCCGTAATGCATTTATGTGGTGACTGTTACTGGCCGCAGTGGCTGTACCACTTAGGATATATAAATTAGGAGCAGGTTCGATGACATTCATCCCTATTACTCCATCTGCCTAGCGTGCAATTGAAATTCGCCAGCGAGATTTGAAGATCGCTTCACACGCAGTTGCTCGCTTTGTTCCTTCGGTCTCCTGTATCGAATCAGTATTTTCCTGGAACGCCAAGTGCCATAGGCCGGATTTAGTTCCAGCCGATGCGATATATTACACACCGTTTCCATTGAATGTTCACGTGCCGGTGTTCCATCGGCCTTTTCATAGGAATTTTCCGCCCCATGCATCCGAATCATCTCCTTTGAGTTGAAATCCCTCGCTTCTGATGCCTGCTGGGAATGATCCCAAGTGATATGCATTGGCTGACTGTGACTATGCAATGCCTCGAGCTCTGGCAGGCGCCACTCAGCTCGTCCTGATGCTCCGCGCGTCCTCTGCGCCCTGTGCGGGTGCTACAACAGGTACTTCGAGGTCCGCTCTCCGAGCAGCACCCCGCCAGGATAGATGGCATGTGTTCAGATGGTTGCTAGCGCATGGATTTTTTCACATGAGTCCGTCAGTTACGATGGTCAGCCACTAACTGTCAGGCTCCTGATGCTGCCTGATCCAGCGATGTCGAGCTGACGGCAGTACCAGCTGAGGGCCGCTCCTTGCCTTAAACTCGACGGTTATCAGTATATAAACCGTCCTCAGGTACGACGATGCCAACGACATCTACGATGCCATACTGAGGAAAGATGAGACGAACACGGTGGTGAGGAAACGCAAGATCGCCGTCCTCAAGTCCCTCGGCAAGACTACAGAGGCCATCAAGGAACTGGTGGAATACCTAAAGAAGTGCGTCTGCCTCTGAGTGGATATTATATATATATATATATATATATATATATATATATATATATATATATTGTATATATTCTTCTCTGTTTGTGCGATGCCGAGTGTTCAAATCCCAGTCAAGCCAAGTAGAGTATGTCTCGTTAAGTGAGCTCCCTTTTAATCCTGCAGCGATACTGTTCCGAGGTAGATCCGTGCCGAGTATCCCGCAAGCCCCCCGTTGAATGCATTCCACGCAGCGTCTGCGTCAGACCCGGCCATCGGCTTTGACCTCTGCCGACGGGGCCTGTCCGACACGCGGGTGGTACCACCGCGTACTGCCGCCGACCGGGCCGCGTGACCCGTGTCCCAGCGGTGCTCTGTCGACCTCACGACGGCCGTGCCCACCGGCCTCTGGCGGCGCTAGTTCTGGAGGTGTGGACTGTCGACGGACCTACCCCGGCCGCCGACGTGTTTACATCGTGTGATGATGATGATGATGTCCCGTCGCGTGATGACGGTGGTGGTGGTGTGGAGCTGGGCGTGAGGATCACCCGCCGTCAACAGGTTCATGTCGGACACGGAGGGCTGGATGGAGCTGGCTGACCTCTACGTCAGCGAGCAGGACTACAGCAAGGCCGCGTACTGCATGGAGGAGCTGCTGCTGCACAACCCGCACAACCATCTCTACTTCCAGAAGTACGCCGACATCAAGTACACACAGGTACGACCCAGCCCGGCAGCCCGAGTCTACTCCTGAGGCTGTTAATCAGCCAGGACACGGTTAGATGTGATCTCATGGTCCTGTGCAATACATCAGCCCACCTCCCATTGTGACCATGTACCCATGCTCCAGTGTGGCCAGCGGTTCAGTCCGCCGCGGGCTCGTCTGCGGCGGACTGGCGCCGGACATCGCCTCTGTTGCGACGCAAGACGCGCTCCGCCAGCCACATACTGGCCACTTCTGCCAATCTTTATGGCTTTACGGGCGGTCCGTCACCAGTCGTTTGTTGACCGTTGCCGCGACATCTCCGCCGCCCGCCGCCGCCGAGTCGCGCAGTAACCGCGCTGCCCTACTCCCGCCGCAGGGAGGCTTCGACAACGTGGAGGTGGCCCGCTCCTACTACTCACGTGCCGTCAAGCTGAGCTCGGCGGCCAACCTGCGGGCTCTGTACGGCCTGATGCTGGTCAGTGGCACGCTGGGGTGACCCGCCCGTGGGCTCTGTATGGCCTGATGCTGGTCAGTGGCACGCTGGGGCGGCCAACCTGCGGGCTCTGTACGGCCTGATGCTGGTCAGTGGCACGCTGGGGTGACCCGCCTGCGGGCTCTGTACGGCCTGATGCTGGTCAGTGGCACGCTGGGGTGACCTGCCTGCGGGCTCTGTATGGCCTGATGCTGGTCAGGCACGCTGGGGTGACCCGCCTGCGGGCTCTGTACGGCCTGATGCTGGTCAGTGGCACGCTGGGGTGACCCGCCTGCGGGCTCTGTACGGCCTGATGCTGGTCAGTGGCACGCTGGGGTGACCCGCCTGCGGGCTCTGTACGGCCTGATGCTGGTCAGTGGCACGCTGGGGTGACCCGCCTGCGGGCTCTGTACGGCCTGATGCTGGTCAGTGGCACGCTGGGGTGACCTGCCTGCGGGCTCTGTATGGCCTGATGCTGGTCAGTGGCACGCTGGGGTGACCCCGCCTGCGGCTCTGTACGGCCTGATGCTGGTCAGTGGCACGCTGGAGGGACCCGCCTGTGGGCTCTGTATGGCCCGATGCTGTCAGTGGCACGCTGGGGCGGCCAACCTGCGGGCTCTGTACGGCCTGATGCTAGTCAGTGGCACGCTGGGGTGACCCGCCTGCGGGCTCTGTACGGCCTGATGCTGGTCAGTTGGCACCTGGGGAGACCCGGCCTTCTGACAGCCTTGACTTCTGACGCGATGTTGGCTGACACCGCTGCACGGTGGCGGACTGTCAACGACTGACCAGTGTCGCCGGACTGTTGGCGGCTGATTGGTGCCCGGACTGTTGGCGGGGGGCCCGGGCCGGGTGTCTACTGTTGACGGCTGGCCAGTGTCGACTGTTGACTACCGGTGTCTGGACTGTCGACGGGGCCGGCCGTTGGCCGGACTGTTGACGGCTGGCCGGTGTCTGGACTGCTGACGGCGCCGGCTAACCGGTGTCCGGACTGTTGGCGGCCGGCCGGTGTCCGGACTGCTGGCGGCTGGCCGGTGTCCGGACTGTTGACGGCTGGCCAGTGTCTGGACTGTTGACTGACCGGTGTCTGGACTGTCGACGGCTGGCCGGTGTTCGGACTGTTGACGGCGCCGGCTGACTGGTGTCTGGACTGTTGGCGGCTGGCCGATGTCCGTATTGTTGGGGGCGGCGGCTGACCGGTGTCTGGACTGTTGAAGGCGGTGGCTGACCGGTGTGTGGACTGTTGGCGGCTGGCCGGTGTCCGGACTGTCGGCGGCTAGCCGGTGCCCGGACAGCCAAAATGTGCGTTGCGTGCCGCTCCATCATCGGCTGTTAGGACAGCTAAGTGGTGCGTTGGGTGGCCGACCTAAAGCGGACATCGCCCGGTGTTTGATCGAAGGGCGCCGCCCGTTCCGCCGCAGCGGTTATCCGCCGCGGCGGCAGCCGGCGGTTAACCGCACGAGCTCCTGCGGCCGGCGTCGTTTATGTCGGGGCTGCCCTCATTGGGACGGCACTGCCGACAATGGGTGACGGCGGGGTGGGGTGGAGGAGACGGGGGGGGGGGGGGGGGGGGGGCGGGATCGGTCTGTCGACCGAGTGTGCCAGGCCGGACGGGTGGGCATTGTGGGCGGTCGTCACGGGCGGGGCCGGCCGTCGCCATTCAGCGGCGCCGCCGGCGGCCCGACGTCCCGCTGGGCCCCGAGCCCTGGCCGCTCCAGCGCAGGCTGCTTGTGGGACGTGCGGATGGACCGGGAGTGGCGGGTGTCTATGACATGCTCCCGTATAAACTCATTAAATGTTGTATCGTATGTCGCCCAAGTTCTGACGGTGCGTGATATTTTAGAGCTTCCTTTGCATTATGAAACGAGGTACATTTGGGTCGACATATGACAAGGTTGATATGTAAATATAAGCTTGAATTGCGGCAACTTCGCTTGCTGAGTTTCTCGGATCCGCTGGAAAGCTGTGTGCCTGCCTGGTGAACTATGTTATCGGGCGTCATTGACCGTACTGTATCGCCAGCTATGTGACGCCGCGCCCTTCCCGTGTGTGGGTGGCCGCGATAGATAACATGGTCGTCCGCTGTTCCAGTGCTGCTCGCTCATCGCCAACTCGCCCAAGGCCAGCGCCCAGAAGAAGAAGGAGAACACCAGGATCGGCCAGTGGGCGGCACAGTGTATATCGGAAAAGTGAGGCGACACATTACAGATTAGGCCCTCGGCAGACGCATGGAAGCATGCCGTTCTGGCTGACGACCCGATGAAACGTAAATTATAGCTATAGTAAATCATGTAAAGAACGCAAGTTGGTTAAATCCGCCTTGAAATTTGTGGTGACGTCTGCATGGTACCCGGGCCGCTGCTGCGAACGGTGTGATGGGAACCAAAATTATGGCAACGTGAACACAAAAGGAGGGAAAGAAAGCTAGTCGCTTTATTTCGTCACACCATTTTTGCGAGTCATTGCTCTTAAGTACCGTGTAGAGCGAGGGCGTGACGAAGGCAACGGCCCCCTATTGTTTGTGCCGGCCTGACGCGCACGCAGAGCCAGCCGGTAGGTGCGGTGCCGGTGCCACATGACACCAGCATGCGGCCCGGCCGGCCAGCCGCCGCATACAGCGGCTGTTTGCACTGCTCGGCGAACGGCAACAGCCAGCGGGCCGTCGCACGGTGTGATTGGTCCGAAGGCGCGCGTGACCCCCGCTCCTCAGGGTCAGTAGCCTAACCAACTGGCGCCGGACACGGCAGGCCGCGGTCGCGGCCCGGCTCGCCCTGCTGCGCCTCTCTAAAACGAATTGGATCGGTTTTGCTGCATCGAGTTATTGATTTTCCCATCAGGCCTGCTGCGAAACGCTATTAAATTGGTAGCGAGCTCACTCAGCCGTGGATAACTGCCAGATAACCGGTGTCATGTACGGGCATTGTGTGGCGCACTTTTATTGACCGGATCTGGCATGTTAGCGCACCATGATGACCGAATATCTACTGGATGTATGCTGCCATATGACAAATTATGCTCGTAATGGTAAATCCAATAACCACTGGCTGTAGCCATACAACGGGTCCGTAAATGGCATCTGAAGTAAATGACCTGCTCTTTGGTCACGGAATAGCTGAATGCTGGCGGTTGGGGAGCTCCGCTCAGTTCAGTGCGGTACGATCAGCTCCTGACCGACGACACGCAGACCATGCCTGTCCCACAGCGCGGTGCAATCAGCCCCCGACCGACGACACGCAGACCATGCCTGTCCCACAGCGCGGTGCGATCAGCTCCCGACCGACGACGCGCAGACCATGCCTGTCCCACAGCGTGGTGCGATCAGCTCCCGACCGACGACACGCAGACCATGCCTGTCCCACAGCGCGGTGCGATCAGCTCCCGACCGACGACACGCAGACCATGCCTGTCCCACAGCGCGGTATGATCAGCTCCTGACCGACGACACGCAGACCGTGCCTGTCCCACAGCGCGGTGCGATCAGCTCCCGACCGACAATACGCAGACCATCGCCTGTCCCACAGCGCGGTATGATCAGCTCCTGACCGACGACACGCAGACCGTGCCTGTCCCACAGCGCGGTGCGATCAGCTCCCGACCGACGACGCGCAGACCATGCCTGTCCCACAGCGCGGTGCGATCAGCTCCCGACCGACGACACGCAGACCGTGCCTGTCCCACAGCGTGGTGCGCGGTGATCGCTCCTGGTTACCTTGCACGCTATCGACGTCATTTGTGATGGCGGCCAGTGTCGGCAGGCGCGCAGAAACCGCTGCGCATTGATGTACAGGCTGCGAAAGATCGTTTGTCCCTGTCTTCGGAATTCCCCGTGAGCCTGGACCACCCGCTCAGCACTGGGATACCGCACATCACAGTCTTCATGCTTTTGAAGCGAGGTGAAATTGGACCTGGCCGCGTATTTCTGACCTCACGTCAAAAAAGACATGAGCCGTAGGTGACTATCTACGTGTTTATAACAAACCTGATAGTGGTAGTCCTTCACCGCCACCCACCGATGGCTACCCCTCGCATCTACGTCCAATCCGTTCCGTGTTCGTTTCGGTCGGATGCCTACCATCTCCTTGTCATGTCAGGCACGGCCGGAGCGGGCTATCGCTTGGGCCGCCGCGCCACTCCCTCCCGGCCGTCCTCCCCCTCCGTCCAGACCAGGCTCGGCTGCGTTCCATCTCGCAAATTTGTTTTTGATATACCGGCGACGCACCTTTCGCGGCGGCCGCAAGCGGCCCCGCTGACAGAGCCATCAAAAATTGACAGTCGGCCTCGGCTGTGCGGACCGCGCCCGCCGCAATGTCTTCGGATGCGATTGGGTATCAATAGTTGACGCTTGCGGCGCCGTTTTGTCGGCGCTGCGTGGGCGGGCGGGCTGACATTATGCGGTCTGTCGGGAGGGGTGGATGCCTGCTCCGCTCGCTGCGGGAGGCGGACGAGGCGCTGGGATGACGCTCCGTATGTGGGCTTCGTTCAAGTCATTCGTCTTCAAGGACAAGACCAGGGCCTTTCAGATTCTTGTTGGTGGAAAACGGGCCTATTATTGCCTGCCTTTCGTGTGGTGTCTTAAGTGTGCAACACCAGATAAGAAATATCTCCAATTGCTGTAAGCTTCGTGTCAGGAAATGTACATTCCTGACCCGAAATACTTCTATGCTTATATATATATATATATATATATATATATATATATATATATGTATATCACTTATATATGCTAAATATATATGCTCTCTATAAGCGGACCCATCATATGCTTGGCAGTGGTAGTGCCGGCCTCGTGTTGGTATGTCTCATTTACAGAGCCATTTATAGACAAGCCAGTATGCGTGAATATATGAATTTGCTTCAATACACACACACACACACACACACACACACACACACACACACACACACACACACACACACACACACACACACACACACACGCACAGCACGCACGCACGCACGCACGCACGCACGCACGCACGCACGCACGCACGCACGCACGCACGCACGCACGCACGCACGCACGCACGCACGCACGCACGCACAGACATACATGCATACATACATACATACATACATACATACATACATACATGCATACATACATACATGCGTGCGTACGTTCATACCCACATGCATCCATACGTGCATATATGGCCTCAGCTTGAGGCGCTGCCCCTTGCATCGGAGTGAAGTGGTTTTAGCGAGAGTGATGCGGCACAGATGACGACATGTGTCTTCCAAGGCGTGACACATGACGTAGTGCCCGCTTCGAGCGCGGGCGAAGCCACCAGAGTTAGACGACCGGCTCGCTGCTCGAGGAACGGAACGGCAAATCCATCTTATTTAATTCGGTGACATGAAGAATCGGCTGGCTCGATACCATTCCTGCCGCGGAGCAGGGTTCAGCCTAGTGAAGCGGCCTTTCAGTGGCGTAGCCAGGACTTCGCCGAGGGGTGCGCCAAACGGAGCAGTGTGCAGGCTACTGACGCCACCTTAGAGTGGCGTAGCCAGGCGGGCCCACTTCGCTGCTAAAGGGGTCCTGCTTTTTATTCAGAGACTTTTTTAGGGTCCGGATCCCATCCTGTTGCCTCGAGGGACCGTTTTTTTATATTCAAGAAGTGCTACGGGCGTTTTAACTAGTAAAACGTGCCGCGTCCCTCGCCGTCTCCGGGGGCGGGGATGGGATGGGGGTGGAGAAGCATGGCCCCAAAAGCTTCCCCCTTGGTTACGCCACTGTCGCCTTTGTCGTGTAAATGGTTGGAATGCGTAAGACATTCATGTGACATAAGGCGACGGCATGGTGCTCATAAGTTTTTCAGTCATGAAGTTATGTTGAATTATGAGGGCTCATGTTATCTCAGGCGGCAGCCAAGTTTACTGCATAACCATAATTATTTTTGAAGTTAACCGTGTATCCTGAGGTACTACACATCAAATGCCCCAAAGTCTTATCACTTGTCTTATCAGATGAAACATAATTTTGCCCTTTGTTCTCACCTGCACTGTTGTCCTTTGCAGCCTTTGGGACACAATCACCCGTCCAATGTGGTGCATTAATGTGACGCGTCGCCGGCCCCGCTGCGTGCGCCAGATTTAGCTGTAACGAATCGCGCCGATGAGCGAAGAGGCACAGCGCAGTCGGGCCGGGCTCAGACGGAGAGGAGGTGTGACGGGAGAGGACGCCCGGTGGTCGCCGGTGGAAGACCGGGCGGGGGGGGGGGGAGGTCGTCTCGGCCCGCCGCGCTGGTCGCCGCCGACCACCGGCTCGGGTGCCGCCCGGCGCCCTGCGGCGCGTACGGCCACGTGACCCCCGCCCAGGCGAGAGAGAGAGCCAGCCTGATCGTTGGCTGGCGACGGTGGCCGCAAGGGACAGCGGGGTGTCGGCGGGCCCGAGCCCGGCACGGCACGGCACGGGAAGTCGGCGGGCCCTGGTGGGCACGGCACGGGACGCTTGCGGGCCCTGGTGGGCACGGGGCGCCGGTGGGCCCTGGTGGGCACGGGACGCCGGCGGGCCCTGATGGGCACGGGACGCCGGTGGGCCCTGATGGGCACGGGGCGCCGGTGGGCCCTGGTGGGCACGGGACGCCGGCGGGCCCTAATTGGCACGGGGCGCCGGTGGGCCCTGGTGGGCACGGGACGCCGGTGGGCCCTGGTGGGCACGGGGCGCCGGTGGGCCCTGGTGGGCACGGGGCGCGGTGGGCCCTGGTGGGCACGGACGCCGGTGGGGCCCTGGTGGGACGGACGCCGGCGGCCCTGATGGCACGGGGCGCCGGCGGGCCCTGATGGGCACGGGGCGCCGGTGGGCCCTGGGGCACGGGACGCCGGTGGGCCCTGGTGGGCACGGGACCGCCGGCGGGCCCTGATGGGCACGGGGCGCCGGTGGGCCCTGGTGGGCAGTCCTGCGGATGAATATGTAACGGCACATGCCGTGAGGGTTCTCACCTCCTGACGGCGTGTTTGAGATATGTGCTGAAGGATGCAGCGCATCATTTTTTCTCAATCTCAGACCTCTTTTTAGCCGTGCTCTGCAGTCGACCATGCGCACGGCAACCCAACATGCCTAGCAACCCATGAACCGAATTGCCATCAAGAGCAACGTAGCATGAATGGTCCCTTTCTTGAGCCGCGAATGATTGCCCTTTTGATGTGTATGTTCTGTATTGCTGCGGCGAATGATGGGTATTGTATC